ACCCGTCCTGTGAGTGGTAGTGGACCCCCATACCCATCCTGTGAGTGGTAGTGGCCCCATACCCATCCTGTGAGTGGTAGTGGGCCCCATACCCGTCCTGTGAGTGGTAGTGAACCCCCATACCCATCCTGTGAGTGGTAGTGGGCCCCATACCCGTCCTGTGAGTGGTAGTGGACCCCCATACCCATCCTGTGAGTGGTAGTGGACCCCATACCCATCCTGTGAGTGGTAGTGGACCCCCATACCCGTCCTGTGAGTGGTAGTGAACCCCCATACCCATCCTGTGAGTGGTAGTGGGCCCCATACCCGTCCTGTGAGTGGTAGTGGACCCCCATACCCATCCTGTGAGTGGTAGTGGGCCCCATACCCGTCCTGTGAGTGGTAGTGGACCCCATACCCATCCTGTGAGTGGTAGTGGACCCCCATACCCATCCTGTGAGTGGTAGTGGGCCCCATACCCGTCCTGTGAGTGGTAGTGAACCCCCATACCCATCCTGTGAGTGGTAGTGGGCCCCATACCCGTCCTGTGAGTGGTAGTGGACCCCCATACCCATCCTGTGAGTGGTAGTGGACCCCATACCCATCCTATGAGTGGTAGTGGACCCCATACCCGTCCTGTGAGTGGTAGTGGGCCCCATCCCCATCCTGTGAGTGGTAGTGGGCCCCATACCCATCCTGTGAGTGGTAGTGGACCCCATACCCATCCTGTGAGTGGTAGTGGACCCCATACCCATCCTGTGAGTGGTAGTGGACCCCCATACCCGTCCTGTGAGTGGTAGTGGACCCCATCCCCATCCTGTGAGTGGTAGTGGACCCCCATACCCGTCCTGTGAGTGGTAGTGGACCCCATCCCCATCCTGCGAGTGGTAGTGGACCCCATACCCATCCTGTGAGTGGTAGTGGACCCCCATACCCGTCCTGTGAGTGGTAGTGGACCCCATACCCATCCTGTGAGTGGTAGTGGACCCCATCCCCATCCTGTGAGTGGTAGTGGACCCCATACCCATCCTGTGAGTGGTAGTGGACCCCCATACCCGTCTTGTGAGTGGTAGTGGACCTCATATCCATCCTGTGAGTGGTAGTGCTAAAGGTTGGCCAGTTAGCCGGCGGAAGAGTGCTCTTTAAAGCACTAATGAGTGGACAACAATGTCATCTCACCTTATAAGTTATATTTTTAACGGAATCTATTAAAAATATGAATTATTGTTAAAAAATAAAACACCGTAATATTGATTTTTTTTATGCATCAACATCTATAGGTTAGGTGGGTTGCTTGGGCTCGTACGTTTCTCGTTAGATCAAACAGTCGTATTTTTAACGGAGTGGTTGAGGCTGAGCGACTGGGGCCAGATTCACGAAGCAGTTACGCAAGTACTTACGAACGTGTACATCTTTCCTCAATCTTTGACGGCTTTGTTTACATTTATTGAACAGTTTACAAGCATGAAAACTTGCCAATCAACTGTTGTTATTGTTATAAACAGCCTCCTGGTGCTTCGGAGCTCATTAACTGTTTAATAATTGTAAACAAAGCCGCCAAAGATTGAGAAAAGATGTACAGGTTCGTAAGTGCTTGCGTAACTGCTTCGTGAATCTGGCCCCTGGTCTCTGTATCCAACCCGTTCTCGCAAATTTAATAAGTCAATATTGACTTATTAAATATGTGCATAGGTGACATACTTAACATAATAGTTTCCCTTGAAAAGCTTCATAGAAAACACCGACCTTACCTAACCTACTTAGTATGTTAAGATAAGCATCTTATTACTTCGTAATTACAATTATTACCTAACCTATACCTATAATAGGTTAAGTAACAATTGTAATTACGAAGCTATAAGATGCTTATTTTAACATACTAAGTAGGTTAGGTAAGGTCGGTGTTTTCTATGAAGCTTTTCAAGGGAAACTATTATGTTAAGTATGTCACCTATGCACATATTTAATAAGTCAATATTGACTTATTAAATTTGCGAGAACGGGTTGCTGTATCAGGATGTTCTCTACAAACACCAACGGTCACTATTATAAAGTCTCTCATGTCGGTCCGTTCTCTCAGGTCGCCACTCCGTAAAAAATGCGACTGTTTTGCCTAACCAGTAACGTGCGAACCTAACCAACCCACCTAACCCATCGAGGCGGATGCACAGAAGACGTCTCAGGACTCTAAGGAACACATGTCGAGGAGCTGCGGCCCTAGACGAGCTTGTAACCATTCATAGTTGGGTATCAACCCAGAGGTTGTCGAGTGGGTTCCGAGGATCAATATCCCCGCAGTCCGGTCTCCGCCAGGCCTCCTGGTTGCCGGACTGGTCAGTCAGATTGTTGGACCCCGCTGCACGCAGGCTCATTAATATAAACCCTCATAATTAAGGAAAGATGCAAAGGTTTCGTAACTGGAAACGTAAGTGGTTGGTGAATACCGGCCCAGAATACCATGAAGACTGAGATCGTCACTGTAATGATCTTGTTTGACCTGATGAGTTGTTATTGCAGCCATGGATGGTTGGATAGTTATGTAATTTGTACTTCGTATTTTGGTATATATATACGTGCTGTACCCCTCATCCCTTACCATGGCGCCCCTACACGACCTGCCCTGCCTGGGGCACCTCTACCCCCCCCCCCCCTAGATCACTGTCTGGGCACCCCCCACCCTACACGATATACAGGCGTGCCCACCCTACACCCCGGCCTGGGCACCTCCACCCTACACGACGTGCAGGCGTGCCCACCCTACACCCCGGCCTGGGCACCTCCACCCTACACGACGTGCAGGCGTGCCCACCCTACACCCCGGCCTGGGCACCTCCACCTGCAGGTGTTAAGGGCGGGTCACCAGCCACTCAGTCATGCAACATCACCCGCGGGGCGGCGTCCACTGGGGTAATTAGCGGGTGGTTGTGGTTGTTTCTTGTTGTGGTTGTTATTGTTTCTTGTGGTTGTGGTGGTTGTGGTGGTTGTGGTGCGCGTCTCTACATTACCTCAGCATCCGAAGACAAGAATATGATCTTCCTCGCCCTCTGGTCAGAGGTGTGTGTGTGTGTGTGTGTACTCACCAAATTGTGCTTGCGGGGGTTGAGCTCTGGCTCTTTGGTCCCGCCTCTCAACTGTCAATCAACTAGTGTGTGTGTGTGTGAATTCAGTTAGTTGAGCTTGCTCTTTCGGCCTTTCAACTGTCAATCAACTGTAACTAACTGCTAACAATTTTTTTTCACACACACCCCCCAGGAAGCAGCTCCGTAACAACTGTCTAACTACCGGTTACCTGTATACTGCTAGGCAACAGAAGCATCAGGGTGAAAAAAACTTTGCCCATTTGTTTCTGCCTGGTCCGGGAATCGAACCCGGACCACAGAATTACGAGTCCTGCGCGAGAAGGGAGGAAACAATCTTCACTCATCCCCCGCCTTGTTTTCTAAGATGCTGAGGGGGGGGGGGGTCCCCAGCATCCCTCTCCCTCTCATCCCATGATGCAGACCTATGATCGCCGTCATGACCCAGTCGGTCCAGACCACTCGCCACTCCGTAAACAAATACAGCTGTTTTAAATACCCAGCAACGCACGGACCCAAACAACCCGGTCGGGAGCGGAGCGGGAGCCGGTCGGCCGAGCGGACAGCACGCGGGACTTGTGATCCTGTGGTCCTGGGTTCGATCCCAGGCGCCGGCGAGAAATAATGGGCAGAGTTTCTTTCACCCTATGCCCCTGTTACCTAGCAGTAAAATAGGTACCTGGGTGTTAGTCAGCTGTCACGGGCTGCTTCCTGGGGGTGGAGGCCTGGTCGAGGACCGGGCCGCGGGGACACTAAAAGCCCCGAAATCGTCTCAAGATAACCTCAAGATAACCCACCTAACCCATCGGCGCCAATACAAGAGAACGTCAGTATTACGGTGCATTAAATGGCACGAATTCTTCGAATTTTTAACGAATTGCTTCATTCAGTTCAAACCAATCGACATCTTAGGCGTGATCGATTGATTGATTGATAGACTAAGCCACCCAAGAGGTGGCACGGGCATAAATAGCCCGTAAGTGGTACATTAGGCGAGAGAAGAGGTTGGCATGACACGGGAGACATCTCCCGTCACGCAGGGTGCAGTCGCACCTCCACAGATCTCCAGTATCAGCTCTTGATACTGGTAATGGCTCAAAAGGGCCACCACTTACGGGCTATTCATGCCCGTGCCACCTTTTGGGTGGCTTAATCTTTATCAATCAATCAGTTGGCATGATATAGGGTTCAGAGTGGCGACATTATTGTCATTGAGGGCAATGTCACCACCCGTGGGACAGGAGGCCTGGTCGACGACCGGGCCGCGAGGACGCTAAGCCCCGGAAGCACCTCAAGGTAAGGAGGGTCCTATGAAGAGCTGACACGTCCTTCGCAGGACCAATAGCGGTCCTGTGAGTACCGAAGGCTTATATTCCGTCCCAGACTGTGGCTGTTGCTTTCTCTTTAGCTGATGCGTTGTTGCGTCAGAGGTGACGGACGAGGTTGTTAGTGGGGCAATTACATGACACTTGCGGTCGTCTCAAGACGGTGGTTCAGCTCGTCACGGGTGATGGTTCTGGCGCGCCGATCCTGCGCCTCTGTTGGACTTTCGCTCGCTCCCGTTGTCTCTCACTGCTGTTCTCTCCCGTTGTCTCTCACTCCCGTTGTCTCTCACTTCCGTTGTCTCTCACTTCCGTTGTCTCTCCCGTTGTCTCTCACTGCTGTTCTCTCCCGTTGTCTCTCACTCCCGTTGTCTCTCACTTCCGTTGTCTCTCACTTCCGTTGTCTCTCCCGTTGTCTCTCACTGCTGTTCTCTCCCGTTGTCTCTCACTCCCGTTGTCTCTCACTTCTGTTGTCTCTCACTTTCGTTGTCTCTCACTTCCGTTGTCTCTCCCGTTGTCTCTCACTGCCGTTGTCTCCCATTGTCTCATCTATAGATGATAGATATCACACTATAGATTCTCAATAGATGATTTCTATCACACTGTTCCACTCGTGGGACAGATGGCGCCTGTTCCACCCGTGGGACAAATGGCGTCTATTCCACCCGTGAGACAGATGGCACCTATTCCACCCGTGGGACAGATGGCGCCTGTTCCACCCGTGAGACAGATGGCACCTATTCCACCCGTGGGACAGATGGCGCCTGTTCCACCCGTGGGACAGATGGCGCCTGTTCCATCCGTGGGACAGATGGCGCCTGTTCCATCCGTGGGACAAATGGCGTCTATTCCACCCGTGGGACAGATGGCACCTGTTCCACCCGTGGGACAGATGGCGCCTGTTCCACCCGTGGGACAGATGGCACCTGTTCCACCCGTGGGACAGATGGCGCCTGTTCCACCCGTGGGACAGATGGCACCTGTTCCACCCGTGGGACAGATGGCGCCTGTTCCACAAACCAGAGGTATGGGTCCCAAGGCTGCTACAAAGAGCCTCAAACAACCAGCTTTTTCAGCCGCCTGTCTCTCTCAGTATGGCCGACGCTGTGTGGTGATCGCCCTTATGAGAAGTGACATTAATGACCATTTTACAACCTTTAATGGGGCTTAAAGCATGAGGTGTATATGCCCTCCATCTCCTGACACCATCCGTTACTCTCATACACCCTTCTACACCCTTGTACACCCTGCGACGCCCTTTCTACACCCTGCGACGCCATTCTACACCCTGCGACGCCCTTCTACACCCTGCGACGCCCTTCTACACCCTACGACACCCTTCTACACCCTGCGACGCCCTTCTACACCCTGCGACGCCCTTCTACACCCTGCGACGCCCTTCTACACCCTGCGACGCCCTTCTACACCCTGCGACGCCATTCTACACCCTGCGACACCCTTCCACACCCTACGACACCCTTACACACCCTACGACACCCTTCCACACCTTACGATGCCCTTCCACACCCTACGACACCCTTCCATACCCTACGACACCCTTCCACACCCTACGACACCCTTCCACACCCTACAACACCCTTCCACACCCTACGACACCCTTCCACACCCTACGACACCCTTCCACACCCTACGACACCCTTCCACACCCTACGACACCCTTCCACACCCTACGACACCCTTCCACACCCTGCGACACCCTTCTACTTTTAAAATCCACTACTAGTGGATTTTAATGTTAAAACAGGATTAAATAATAAATAATGAACTATAAGCCTTGAGAGTCACGGGCCAGAGCAGCCAGTCTTCTCTCTCAATACGTCGTATTTTTTACGGAATCGACTAATCCGTTTCAAAATGCGACGTATTAGTAAAATTGAAATCGCCGTAATATTGACGCTTTCTATATACATGGGCCTCAATGGGTTAGGTGGGCTGCTTGGGAGTGTACGCGTCTGGTTTGGCTAAACAGTCGTATTCTTTACGGAGCGACGAATGGAGAAAACGGGCTGCCAGCCTATTGCCTCTCGCGCGGAAAATGTCAAATATTAAGCAACATTATACAACACGTAGAATACAATCATACGAGCATCGCGGTGCTTGTATGAATACAATCATACGAGCATCCTTGTATGAATACAATCATACGAGCATCCTTGTATGAATACAATCATACGAGCATCCTTGTATGAATACAATCATACGAGCATCCTTGTATGAATACAATCATACGAGCATCGCGGTGCTTGTATTAGCATCCTTGAATGAATACAATCATACGAGCATCGCGGTACTTGTATGAATACAATCATACGAGCATCGCGGTACTTGTATGAATACAATCATACAAGCATCGCGGTACTTGCATGAATACAATCATACAAGCATCGCGGTGCTTGCATGAATACAATCATACGAGCATCGCGGTGCTTGTATGAATACAATCATACGAGCATCGCGGTACTTGTATGAATACAATCATACGAGCATCGCGGTGCTTGCATGAATACAATCATACAAGCATCCTTGTATGAATACAATCATACGAGCATCGCGGTGCTTGTATTAGCATCCTTGAATGAATACAATCATACGAGCATCGCGGTGCTTGTATGAATACAATCATACGAGCATCGCGGTGCTTGTATGAATACAATCATACGAGCATCGCGGTGCTTGTATTAGCATCCTTGAATGAATACAATCATACGAGCATCGCGGTACTTGTATGAATACAATCATACGAGCATCGCGGTGTATGATGCTGAAAAGTGAGCAGATAAGTTCGTATTGTTAGTGTACCTAAAGGTAATCAGGCGTAAGTAATCATAGCAGTTTGCGACACTTTTTATGCCAATTAAATGTTTGTAGGTAATGACACGGTCCCAGAGAGTGGTAATTAAGGGCTTGCAACAGTGCCAGGCTGTGCTTGCAACAGTGCCAGGCGGGGCTACAACAGTGCCAGGCGGGGCTTGCAACAGTGCCAGGCTGTGCTTGCAACAGTGCCAGGCGGGGCTACAACAGTGCCAGGCGGGGCTTGCAACAGTGCCAGGCGGGGCTTGCAACAGTGCCAGGCGGGGCTTGCAACAGTGCCAGGCGGGGCTTGCAACAGTGCCAGGCGGGGCTGAGAACAGTGCCAGGCGGGGCTTGCAACAGTGCCAGGCGGGGCTTGCAACAGTGCCAGGCGGGGCTTGCAACAGTGCCAGACGGGGCTTGCAACAGTGCCAGGCGGGGCTTGCAACAGTGCCAGGCGGGGCTTGCAACAGTGCCAGGCGGGGCTTGCAACAGTGCCAGGCGGTGCTCAGTTTAATCATTGGTGTTCTTGGCTCCGCGCGCTCAAGAATGTTGTCACACATTCTTAAAATACCTCGAATGGGACTAGCATATTGATTACTGTTAACTACACAGATATTCTCAGGTACTTGGCTCTGGCGACGTGTATTGGAGGCGGGGGGGGGAGACGGTGGAGGGGTGGTGAGGGTGAGGGTGAGGGGGGGGGGGGGGACGCCGGGCCTTCCTCACACCTCACAAAAAGACAGAACCTCTTTATATTTTTTTGGCCTAACCTTCTTCGCCTCATCTTCATTAATCCTCCTCCTCCAATCCCTTGGTTTCTTGCCAATCTCTTTCTCTCTTTCCTCCCTCCCTCTCTCTCTCTCTCTCTCTCTCTCTCTCTCTCTCTCTCTCTCTCTCTCTCTCTCTCTCTCTCTCTCTCTCTCTCTCTCTCTCTCTCTCTCTCTCTCTCTCTCTCTCTCTCTCTCCCCCTGCCTGTCCCACGTCCACCTGCTGCCCCATTTCTTCCCCATTAATCTCCCCATTAACACCCCCCCCCCCTCTCCCCGCGTATAACTTCTAAACTAACCAGAAACAAACCCACAAAAAATCGTTGATATTAGGCTGCTTTTTTATTTATAATAAATCGTATTGTTAACGGATTGTCGACTGTTAAAAAAAATCGACGCTCTAGGTGATATTAGTTATATCAACTATAAATATAGAGTTTCAAAGCTTCAACAGCCGACGGATGTTGAAGCTTTGTACTATTTATATTGTAGTGGGACACTAACAAAATTCATACTCCAAAATTCAACATTCCTAGACCCAGTATATCACATATATGTAGTACATTAGGCCTAGTATGACGTTTATTAGGCCTAGGTTGCGTATTTACACTTTAGACAGGTTAGGTTAGGTTCTTGCGTTTCTAATTGTTTTTGTTAGTATGCCATTTTTGCTAATTCGAGAGTACAAATCGAGTACATTTTTGGGTCCAACATTCCTTTTTGTTCATGTTTGGGCACATAGTTGGTGTTAGTACTATTGTTATAGGTGGATGGTGTGCTAGTTCAGCTGGCGGGCCTAGGGCTCTGCCGTGCTGGACGGGTAGGTGTGGGGGTGGGTGTAGTTCAGGTGTGGGGGTGGCGTGTAGTTCCAGGTGCAGGTGTGGAGGGGGAGGTGAGAATATCTAAGACAACAATAACTTCCATAACAGCTACACTATTTTCATGAAACTGTTGCTATAACTGGCATAAACGCTGTTGCAACTCACGTAGTGCCATTGCTGTTATACAGGCAACAGTAAGTCATTCTGGCACTATTGTGACTTGTGTTGAAATTTAGAAGACATTATTTGGCAGAGAATGATTGACGTAAAGTTGGTGTTGGTGAGTTGGATGTGAGAGACAAGGTGTCGTGCAGTACCAGTACCAGTCGTGGAGTACCAGTACCAGACCAGCACCAGTCGTGGAGTACCAGACCAGTACCAGTCGTGGAGTACCAGACCAGCACCAGTCGTGGAGTACCAGACCAGTACCAGTCGTGGAGTACCCGACTCTATGAGGAATCTTGCAAGGCACAAGGCAAGATTAAATGTTTGTACACCGTGGTGCGTGTTGTGGGCATCAGAGGAAGACTCAGGCAACATGTGAAGAAATTACATGTAGTATTAGACGACGTCTTGGCTCGAGACGGCTTATGAGGTATGTTGCGGCTCTCAAGAATATGATTTACACTTATTTGTTGTGGCTTGATCTGTCTCTTTTGTTGTGCGCGCTCCTCCCTCCCCCTTCTCTCTCTCTCTCAGGATAACATGGGGCACTAAGATGTGCAGCATTAAGAGGTGGGCCCCGACCAACATGTGGGTTCCCCTCAAGCGTGACAGGGGATCTTATCTGTGGCGCGTGCGGCCGCGGCGTCGGCTAAAGCTGGCTCATTATTCCCCGCCAAGCTTTATGGGCGCCAGAGTGCTATATCTAGGCGTTATCTGTTGCTATCAGGGGATGAGGTAGCTTTAAGAGAGGGCGGGTGGAAGGAGGTAGATACATCAGAGAGAGAGGGAGAGACATAGAGAGAGAAAAAAAGAGAGAGAGAGAGAGAGAGAGAGAGAGAGAGAGAGAGAGAGAGAGAGAGAGAGAGAGAGAGAGAGAGAGAGAGAGAGAGAGAGAGAGAGAGAGAGAGAGAGAGAGATGGGTGCTATTATCGCAGATAATCTTTCAAGATAATGAATGAAACACAAGAAAACTTGAGAATAAGTCACCGAGAAAATGTATTTCGCGTTTAGACCTGGTCTGGGTAGTTTGAAGAGTCTGTCAGCCGCCCGCCAAATCACCGCCGTCCACCCGTCCAGTAGACAACACCCACACGCTCAATTAACCCCCGTCCACTCGCCCGTCCACCCACACATATGGCCCCGACTGGAACATTTCCAGCAAGATTTTCCAGATATTTTGGTGAGGCCGCGACTGACACAAATCCAGGCACCACCTTCATATTTTCTCCCGCCTCTAAGTCATCAGCTTTTGCCTCTTCGCGCTTTATTCATTTTCTCGCTCTTATGTTATCTGTATTTATTTATTTATTTGTCCTCTTCCTCTCTATATTTCCCCCTCCATCCGATCATTTTTCTGGCTGACGCATTATTTGCTTAGTTATGCTCCCTAAACGACAGGTCGCCAGACATCATTATTCTCAAATCTTTAACATGTTCCTTTCCTACTATGGGCAGATTTGGTTGCATTTTGTACCCTGTATTATGTGTAAGGTTCTCATTCTTACCGTACCTGAGTACCTGGAATTTATCGCTGTTAATCATTATGTTATTTTCTGCTGCCCAGTCGAAAACTTTATTAATATCTTCTTGAAGTTTTTCAATGT